TGCATTTATATTTTTACAGCTTGTATTTAAGAATCATTTCAACCACAATAGCACAGTAAACTCTGGAATGAAACATAGTAGCTTCTGAGGACAACATTACAAAATACATAAGGGTAAAAAACCAAAACAATACATTTTTGGTCAAACTTACAGACAGTCTTAAGAAAGGATCACGTCACTAACACAGAACTTCACCACAACAAAGCTTGGTGCTCTTTTACTTCTCTGAATATTGCCACACAGCATAACCAGCCATTTCATTGACTTGCCTCATTAGAAAGAGAGCAGCCCTTGTCAGTGGACTCAAAAAGAAAAACACCATTGCCTGGATCTGAGCTATTTGTTGTTGAAGTTCACTACCCATGCACTGTCATAGCTCTTTCAACATGCAGGTCAATTATTATAGTTGCCTCTGGGCTCTCATGCTACAATCTATTTCACTTCCCATATTGACTTCTTATAAAAAGGAGGATCTTTCCAGGTTAGGCGCAATTTTTTAATCCATTCCTTCTGTAAGCACAGTTTTGTTAGTATAAAAGTTGAGCTATGGATGCTCAGACTGTGGGCATGTGCAAGCTCATAGCAACAACACACAGAACTATTCCAGGTGTGCATACATACCTAAGTAACTAGTTATGGAAAATATGCAAATTAATAATTTATTTTTCAGATTTAGTGGCTGCTTTAATATTGTAGCACACACTTTACAAGCACCCTGCTAACTTCCTCTCTGATGAACCTTGTTGACAATTTTTCTGCTGTCTCTCATTAAGCAGTCCCAGTTGCTGAGCATTTGCTCTAGAGCATTGGTGCCCGTACCACCAAGGAACACCAGCAACAGAGTGGAGGTGCCATGGGCTAAGCTAATGAGCTCTCTCAGGCTTCGCAGAGCAGGCTGAGCACTACTGCAGGGAGATCTGTGAGGTAAGATAAGTGTGAGGTGCAGACAGACCAAGAAAAAGAAACAGCTGTAGCTTAACAGGAAACACATGTTGAATAATAGAGATCCAAAGAGATCAAGAGGAGGAGGGAACCAGGAGCTACAAAGACAATAGCAGGGATCTGTGAGTAATGAAGAAGCCAGAAGAAATTAAGAGGCTGAGGAAACAGTAGGTAGAGATTAAGAGGCAGAGAAGGACTGACAGAAACAGTGGTGTCCAGAAAGACTGAGAAACAGTTTTAACTACATCTATACTAATGTAAGTAAAACTTTTACTACAATCGGTAAATTCCAAATTTTTAAAATCATTCACTACTGAAAACTCACAGACTGGGTGTCCAATACTGCTCTGAACATTGGGGATAACAACAGAGTAAATAGGTGGCTGGAAGGAGCAAACACCAGATGGACTTTTAGTGACGACGTTCTGAGACGTGCTGGGAAGTGCAGCAGATCCAGGCAGTGGGAAACGCTTCCTTTTGCCTATTCGGGGTTGATAAACCCAACCTGTCAGAGATTGAAGAAAAAAAGATGCAGACATCCAATTTTGGGGATTGTCTCATTTGTCATGTAAAGCTATGGTATCTGTAATTCTGAAGTATCTAAAAAGGAGGAGCCCCAAACCTGCTCCTACAGTCAAAGGCAAAACTCCATCTGTTTCAGTGAGCTAATAAATGGGACATTTTATCAGAGGTGGAAATAAAATTAAGATATTTTAGCACTGTTTTTATGTTACTAGGTTGTCACTGAGAGATAAGAAAATACAGAATAGTAGGCAGTGATGTGGCACAGCTGAAATGCTCTGAGGCACTTTAAAGCTGACAGAAGGATCACGTCTGTTTGACATTTTCCTAATTTTTTTTCTAACTCTATTTTTCTAACACTGAGGAATGAGATCCATTTTTCAAAAGAACTTGCACTTCTAGAGCACTCAGGCAAATAAAACCATGTTTACCAGGAAATTCCTCTCTGTGCCTTTGCTTTATCTTACGAGCTTCATCATAGTAGGGCTGTTTTTGCTCTTCAGTCAGTTTGCTCCACTCCACTCCAAGCTGAACACTGATCTCTGCGTTATTGGCAGCAGGGTTGGCTTTTGCCAGGGCAGGCCGATGGATCCTGGCCCACACCATGAAGGCATTCATGGGACGTTTGACATGGCCACTTTTGTCCCTGCTAAATGGAGTGTCTGGCATACCTATGCAAGGAAACAAGGAAAGAGGGTCACCTTTCAGGCAATAAATCCAATCCAGGTTACATGAGCTAGCACAGCAAGAGGATCGTTTGTCAAAAAAAAAATACAAATCCCTAGAGCTTTGGAACCCGTGGAACTTGATGCACATTTGGAGGGCAGTTCCTAGAAACATAAGGCTAAGGGAGTATCCTCCACTAACCTTCACTGAACCACTGCATGAGGAATAATTTCCCTGACTTCTGTCACGTATTTAAAAGGAAAAATAAATAAATAAAAGAAACATATGGGGCTGCTGACATGCTGGTTTGGATTTCCTTTGGCTGAATGGGCTTTTTATAAATTTATAAAGTAAGTTTTGCATAGCACAGATCATATCACTGCAAATTCATCATCACCACAAGAACTACTTATCCAAAGCCCTAATCATGTGGGGAGCAGAGCTAATAATGGTAAGGCAGTTTAGTCCCTACACCTGTGCAGTCCCTGACTTCACAGCTGAGCTTGCTGCTCATATGGGTTTCTGATTAGTTGGGGTTTTTTTTCCCCCTCTCTCTTTGTTTTCTCAGATTTGACACTTCTTTTGCTGCAGAAACCTGTGTTACCAAATCTGTTATGGTATCCAACTTTGCCTCTTTGTAAACATCAACTGCATTCAGAGCTGGTGACATGATAAACCCCCAGACCTCTCACAACTGGTCTCTGAGCGAGCCATTTCCTCTCTGAAAAAGGCTTAGAAATTAATTCTTTCAGATTATCAATACAGGGCAAAAGTCTTTTAAGGTGTCACTTTAAGTCACTCATTTTGAAAGCCTAGGTATCTTAAAAAAAAAGTAAGATTCTAATCCAGATGTTTCAAAATGCTCCTCAACTAACATGCCCATATTTTCTTAAGAGAGGTGCATGAATACCTAACAGCTTTAAAAATCAAGCAGGTTCCTGACCTTAATCTTGCAATCACAACTCAGTGCAATTCTGAACACTGCCAGAAGGGGTTTCATGTAGTCAGGGAGCACGTGGATTGCCTTAAATCACTACAGAACTTTGTGCTCCCATATGTTTATGCCTTACACTGAAGTTTTACAAACTCCAGCCCAGCCAAAGGGCTGGTTCTCCAACACGACCCTTCCCCTGCTGTTCTGTCCGATGACCCGCCAGCCGTGTGCCACTTGCTGACCCCTTGTGAGCTCTCTGAATACCTGACTCTGCAGGCAGGACTGTGAAGGGCACGTTTTTAGTTTCAATCTTTACTGAAGGCTCCAGCAAAGACTGCATTTTGAGGGGCACTTGTTTCACCGGCCCTTTGGGGACGTGGATCAGCTCAGGTGGCAGAGAGCCCTGGATCCGTAAGCAGGTCCCAGAAGGCAAGGAGGGAAACATAACGGGGATCTTCACATCTTCAGGGAGGGCACCAGCCCCCTCGGCCTGCTGCGAGGTGCTGGTACAAGCAGGCCCAGGCTGGAAGCCAGAAGGGGCATCGTCCTTCTCCACCTTCACCCTGCAGGCCTCGAAGGGCCCGTCGGGCGGCTCCGCTTTGACATCAGCTCTGGGCTCCTTCCCATCCTCCACCTTCACCTCCTTCTGGCTTTCTTTGCTGACACTGTCACGGTCCCTTTCTCTCCTGCCGGCACCGGGGGCCAACTCTTTGCCCGCCCCTGGGGCTGCCGAGCGCCCCGGCTCGCTCTTTGCGGGCTCGTCGCGGTTCCAGGCGCAGCCCGGGGGATCTTCCTTCTCCACCTTCAGCTTCTCAAGTTTGACCTGCAGCACCCTGAGGGGCCCCTTGGCCTGGCCCTGCGGGGGGCGGCGGG